CCAATGGCAGCCTCATTCTACAACAGTGGCACCATATAGCATTTGCCCCTTTGTGACTGAGATACCTCACTCAGCATAATGTCCTCCAGGTTCACCCATTTTGAATAATATTGCATGAGTTCCTTGTTTTTCAATGCAGCATAGTATTCCATTGTGCGAATATACCACAGCTTCTCTACCCACTTCTTATACCTGTCTTCTCATTTCTTCCTTATTCTGCCAAACTTACTCTCCTAATTAATTTGTTTGAAAATGTCTGACATTATCTTGAACTCTCCAGTATACAAATCTTGTATTTATGTTTACTTTGATTGCCTGATAAATACTTCTTTTGCCAAGACACAGTTCAGAAAGCATCTTCCCCTGTGAAGCTTTCCTCCTAGCCACCAACAAAAATCCACCAACCCTCTTTTCTCTTATTAGTGGTCCATTCACACCTTTGGCTCCATACTGATCAGTTTTCATATTCCATATTTTTGTATGAAAGTATACGTCCATATTTTCATATTTTGAATGTTTGTATTTCTCTTTTACTCATTGCCATCGAGTTGGATTTGAGAAGTAGGTGACCTTCCACTGGGTTTCTGAGGCTATAAATCACATGAGAGGAGATTGCCAGTCTTTGTCCTGTGGAGCCGTTGGTGGATTGGAACCACCAAAGAACTGTGATCTTTGTGTTAGCAGCACAACTACCTGCAGACTAGGCCACCACAGCATTTGCTGTTCATGTCCCTTTTTCTATTAAATTGAAAGTCTCTTGAGGACAAATAGCAGAGCTCTTGCCTTTAGAACTCCACTTGAGATAACTCAGTTTCCTGGAGATAACTTCAGTAATGTTGTCCTGAAGGACACCTGATATGAGAATTTGTAATTGATCCACCTCCCTCCTCTTTCTTGGGCAATGGATACTTGTATTAACTTGTGCAAGCATGTATAATTGGTAAATTCTTTTTACAGCTGCACTTGTCATTCAGCATCTTCAAAAGGCCTATTTCTCAGTGTCCAAAGTATTTAGAATTATATATGCAGGATGGCTATTAGAAACAAGAACAACATTACCAAGATGTATATAGGAATTCAGTTAAAATATGATTACTCCCTTTCTATGATATATGAAAGTATAACCTACATTTACTGTAGACTTTTAAAGATATAAAAATACCAAAGTGAAAGTGGCCTAAATATATAATCAAGGGTATTCACGGTCAAGATCTTGGCAAGGAGCCTGTCAGTGATTTACCTCTACATATGCTTACATGACTTTGAATGTTGGATGTGCCAGTATTTTATAATTTAACTATTTTTATCTTAACACTATATTTTTTATTTTTATGGAGACATTTGGGTTAGAAAGTATGTCCTTATAATTATCTAATCTACTTCCTAAACAACATGCTTC